TGAACTATTTTTAGTTCCCAACATTCTGGGCGGTCCATGCATGGTCACAGGGAACTGAGAAGTTTGACGACCTGATGTTATAGTTAACCCATGCTATCCTCAGTTTTGGATATTAATTTTATCCTTAGAACGTAAAGACATTGTGAGCCTCTCTGTTGAGCGTACTGTAGAAATGGCATGTGTTGAGCTTGAGCACCTTATTGTTGTCAGTGTTTACAGACCCCCATGTTCATGTTATGATACTTTTGAAAAAATTATGGAAGAAGTTTTAGTTAAGCTTAATAAACAGAATAAATCTCTTGTAGTGTGTGGAGACTTTAATATCAATCTCCTGGAAACTTCTTCCATCAGTATTAAATTCTGTTCTTTGTTCAAATCCTATAATCTTAATAATTTATTCTTTGAAGCTACACGTATTGCAGGGTGTAGTGCAACTTGTATTGATAATATTTTTACAGGTGTTGTACCAATCAACAAATCAATAATACAAAAACTTAGTTCAGATCACTGTGGACAACTGGTTTCGTTACCTTATATGCACAAAAAACAGGTAAATGAGAAAATTGTGTTTGTTCCTATTAATGCAAAACGTCTGGAGAGATTTAGAAGTAATATGTTAAAAATCCTTCCATAGATGCCACTCACTGCCTTTATATTATAAAGGCAATGATCTATTTTATTTTGGGCTGATCGTTTCAGCATCTGACTCCAGATACATTGCTCAAGGTTTATAAAACATACGTCTGACCGCTGATAAAGTATGGATTTCAAATTTGGAACTACTATTTTCTTAAGGATGTAGATTTGCTGGAGAGTGTACAAAGAAAAGCCACAAAAATTCCATTATGCCTTCGCAAAAAGCTATACGAAGAGAGATTAAAAATATTGAATCTAACAATGCTGAAATCTTGCCGTACCAGAGGAGACCTTATTGAGACCTACAAAATATTGACACATAAATATAATTGCAAAGAGCTGCCACATATTTTTAACATCAGCAGTATCCACCGACCTAGACATACTAACTATATGAGATTGGCCCACACCCGCTCATACACTATTGAGGGACATCACACACTAAACAACAGAATCATAAATATATGGAACAAGTTGCCTCAAGACGTGGTAGATGCTCCCTCTGTGATTAGTTTTAAAAACAAACTGGACAAATGGTATAAAGACAATCCAATTTAGCACACAGCCCACTTGATGTTAAGTGGATGCTGTGACCCATAATATATTTGTCACCTCTGAGGAATAAAATAGAGTGCTTTGTTCTCAGTATAAAGAGTTTTCGGTTCCCTACACTCACCATTCGAAGCACGTCAGCATTAAGCTCATATTTTTCGCTGGTATTCCCTGAGAGCATTAGGCAGAAATGGCGTCCTACCATCACACTTCAGTAGCAATAACCAGTTATTTGACTTCAAGGTGTCAGTAATTCCTTCATGGGTATATATATATATATATATATATATATATATATATTGCCCCAATTAATATATATATATATATATATATATATATATATATATATATATATATATATATATATATATTGCCCCAATTAATATATATATATATATATATATATATATATATATATATATGTGTGTATGTGTGTGTGTGTGTGTGTGTGTGTGTGTGTGTGTGTGTGTATATCCACTAACTAAATTTTATTAAAGAATATTAAAATTAATTAAACAGCAGCGAGTTCGTAATGTGACACAGACATACACCATCACACACTAAAAAGAACAAGAAAACTGTACCCTACGCCGAATCTAATCCACTCCTCTTTTGTCTTTTTTTTTTCATCCAGTCGCACCACGACTCCGCTCGAGGCGTTTCACCAACGAACCTCCGCTCTGATTGGTTGTTATTATCACCATATTAATCAAGCCATGAACCTCTGGCTTTTGATTGGTTAATTTAAATAAATAAACTATTGGTAAATCCAATAGGGCATGCACTAATCGATAATACACACTTTGTTTTATTTATTTCTAATACTCTATTTTCAACTATTTCTTTGGAGTCACTAGAGACCCCATGTGACTAATTGTGCGATTTTCTTCGTGCGCCTAATTCTTATTTCTTATTTAAAAAACGTTACCCCCACACTAGGATTTTCTCCTGTATCGTGGAGGCAGTTTACAAACACAAATTGCACAAGGACAAACATCCAGACCCGGAACCATTATTTGTAGGTCATACAAATAATAGTTCCGTGCGGGATTCGAACCCGCGGCCCCCAGCGCAGCAACTCATTGCTAAGCCACTGCGCCATGGAGCCGCAATGAATTAAGGGTTAAGAAAGTGTTCGCGCCAAACACTGTCAAGAATCGCCGCCAGATGTCACTCGGCTCGGCGCGATACCGGTTTGAAGTTCGGCCGAGCGTGGCAGTGGCGCGCGGGTCGCGAGTGAAAAGGCAGAGTCGCCTTTAAGCGGTGCTAACGATTGGCACGCTGTCTTTTTGTCGGGAACTCAGAATAGTTAAGCGCGGACAGTAAAAATACGGTCTAGGATTGGTGGCGCGCATCCCTACTGGAGAGCTTCCCAGGGACACATTGTGTCTGACTCAGAATCTGCATAAGTGCATTCGGCAATATTAGCTAGTGCGGCCTCTGATATTCTAGAACTAACTGTTGCAACGCGAAACGGTAGTGACCTTTGATCCAGAAACTCCGTGTGCGTTTTGTGCGTTAACCTTTTACCCAGCGATAGTTAGTGGCTTCTGTAAGTTAGTTAATCGTACGATAGAGTTAATTGACTGTCATCGTGACGAACGAGGAAAGTGATTGTGGTCCGGCGCCGAAGCAGTCTGAAGCGGTGCAGCATTTTGGAGCAGCCTGGAACTCGGCCGCGGCTGGTCGCCTATGCTTGACAAGGCTCCAAACATTCACAACTCACTGTACACTACTCGCCATCCACTATTACACACACTCACGGCCTGCCCAAGTCTTAGTGCGAAGTTAGCTTCGGATAATGGTAAGTACTATGTGTTTCTAGCGTCCTCCCATATTGTTTAGTGTAATTAGAGAAATTCCACGTGGCCATATTCTGGCCCGGTCCCTCTGCTGCTCGTCGATGGGATTACTCATGGGGTCTAATCCCGTCAGCCTTGGTTGGGGCAGCTAGGGGCGTGTACAGAAAGGAATGCTTCGGTGGTCTAAGTTGCAGAAACGAACGGTAGAGACGGGCAGGTATGCCCTAGACGAATGTTTATCGACCAAATTGGCGATATATTCAAAGTGGGACAGATTAGGAGTACATTTAACCGACGAGCATGTATGCGTAGGTGTAAATAAAAAAATATTTCATTAAAACAATACGTATAACATGATTATACGGAATTTTTTAATGTAGTTTAAATACACACAAGTTTTCACTAATAACCTTATTATACTTCCAAGTTTCCGATAATTTTATGTCAAACTTCAATTTGAAAAAGTTTGGAAAATCCAAAAGTGCACGTCTCATAATGCTCATATGATCATCATATCAGTCATGTCACCTCATAAAGTCCAAGACGTATTTAAGTATAAATATTACACTACCTACTTACTTTTAGTACGTAGTATTACTACGTATTCTCTGCTTTTAAAATATTGTAATAAAAATCTCTGCTTATTATAATAATGAAGTATGTATGAAAAATGGTTTTTCGAATATTTTGTATTTATTTGTACAGCGATCTTTTTGAGCTGCAAACATACAATACAGTATCCACTCACAACGGCGGTTGACGCCGTACTAATGGAGTGAGGCAGTATATTTACTAAAATGATTTCACACAAGGCTGCTCAAACACCGAAAATTTCGCCATTACGCAGCCGAAAAAAATGTATTATAACTAAACTAAACAAAATTAAACTGCCATTTACATTCGATGACTTCCCGCATGATAGATGAAGAGTTTTAAAAATATATTGAGTTGAACAATAGAAATTTACAAAAATTATCGTGTTTACAAGTTTTGCGGTCTTGATAAATCCACACCATAAACCACTAAAACCCCTTTTTTACTTAAATATAGCAATTAATCGATTTAAAAAAATATTAACAAGTTCAACAATCATTTATCTTTCTGACAACGTGCTTTTTAAATCACTTATATGTAAAATATGATTGCTAGATACGATTTCATGCGACAAAAAGTTGGAATCTTAATTTTTAGGCCCTAGTAGAACATACCTATGCACGTTGCGCTTACAGCATGCAATGCAGCAACGATAAATAATCCTAAATTCTTAAGAAATTTTCTGGCTAAATTAATATTAATGCAATTAAGATTAAACATTAGAATTTATATTTTAACCTATTTAATTCATTGTTAAAATATGATTGTTTTATTCATTCCTGTTATATATATATATAACGGGAATGAATATAAATATACGATTTTTCAAGAAAAAAAAAAAAACAGAAAATGTGAAGGACCTATCTATCAAAAAGTTTAAAATTGTTTGTATTTATATACTGCTGAAAAGTATATGATACGTGATTCATAATAACCCCAAGTATGAGGCAATCGCTTCCATGTTGTTTCTGAATGTTTTTGTATTTAATTTTAAAAATATTATAATAATATATAACCATTTCAGAATAGTCCCGCTGGCACTTGTTTTCTTGTCGGTTTTTCCCAGGATAAAGGTTTTTTCGGAACCAATGGTATAAGCTTATTTTATTTTATCTATTTATTTATTTATTTATTTATTTATTTACTCTTTATTGTACACCAAAAACAAAACAAAAACGAATACAATTAAATCTAAATTAGAAAATGTACAACAGGCGGTCTTATCACTCTGAAAGTGATTTCTTCCAGACAACCTTAGTGTAGAGAACTGATGTAAACAATAGTTAAAAATAGAGGGGGCGTACAAAATAAAAATAAAAAATATAAAGTACATACAAATAAAGGCAAGTGAAGATAATGTATGATATAATATAATAGATTAAATGAAAAGAGTACGAAAAAGGAAAAGTGATTTATCTAATAGCGTTCTAAGTAATACGATTTAACAAGACATTTGAAAGAATGAAGAGATTGAGCACGACGAATGTGGAGAGGTAAAGAGTTCCACAAACGTACAGCAGTTACAGTAAAGGATTTCTTAAAAAAGGAGGAAGAGTGCGAAGGAGTAGAGAGAGAAAGATTGACGGAGGATCGAAGGAACCGATTATGGGTAAGGGAAAGATACTGGAAACGGTCTTTTAAATAATGAGGAGTGGAAGGATTAAACAGCACGCTATACAAAGTGGAGAGAATGTGAGTATTCCTGCGAAGGCGGATCGGGAGCCATTTGAGCTGTTTGCGAAATTCAGAGATGTGATCATATTTGCGAAGCCCAAATATGAATCTAATACATAAATTTTGAATGCGCTCAAGCTTATTAAGCTGCTCCTCGGTAATGTCAAGATAGCATATGTCAGCATAGTCAAGGATAGGTAGAAGTAGAGACTGGGCGAGCGTAACTTTAGTTACTGTGGGAAGAAAATTACGTAATCTACGTAAAGAGCTTAAAGCAGCAAACATTTTTCTACTAACCTCATTAATCTGTGAGGTCCAAGACATACAAGAGTCAAGATACAACCCCAGGTTTTTAACCTTGTTACTGTAAGGAATTTGAGTGCAGTCTAGTAAAATAGGAGGTAGGGAAGACCAGTCAATTTTTCTAATTAATCTAGAACTACCGATGATAATTGCCTGAGTTTTCTTGGGATTAATCGTTAAACCATAACGTTTACTCCAATTTTTTTTTTTTTTTTTTATAGAATATGGGGCAAACGAGCATGCGGCTCACCTGATGTTAAGTGACTACCGCCGCCCATGAACAACCGCAACACCAGGGGAATTGCAGATGCGTTGCCGGCCTTTTAGAAAGGTGTAAGCTCTTTTCTTGAAGGTTCCTAAGTCGTATCGGTTCGGAAAATTCGCTGGTGGTAATTGATTCCACAAAGAAGTTGTGCGAGGGAGAAAACTTCTTCTAAATCGCACAGTGGTGGACCGCCAATCATCCAGATGGTATGGATGGTAACGCGAGTTTTGTCGCGACGTGCGATGGTGAAATTGAGCGGCTGGAATTAGTCCGAACAATTCCTCAGAGCACTCCCCGTGATAGATGCGATAAAATACGCAAAGAGATGCAACATCTCTACGCAGTGCCAGTGTATCGAGCCGATCGGAAAGAACTCGGTCGTCGACGATTCGAATCGCTCTGCGCTGGATGCGGTCAAGTGGAAGGAGCTGGCACTGGGGTGCCCCGGCCCAGAGATGAGAACAGTATTCCATGTGGGGCCGAACTTGCGCTTTGTAAAGTTGCAAGCGATGTGCCGGCATGAAATACTGTCTCGCTCTGCTGAGCACGCCAAGCTTTTTAGAGGCCAATTTGGCCTTCCCTTCCAAGTGACCACGAAACTGCACGCTATTCGATATGTCGACGCCAAGGATTCCGATACTGGCTGAGGCAGCAAGGGGAGTGCCTTGAAACTGAGGAGATACGACAAAGGGGTTCTTTTTAGCGGTAAACGCGCAAACTTGTGTCTTCTGGGGATTGAACTGGACTAGATTTAGTCGGCCCCAATCCGAGACTTTGTTAAGCAAAGACTCGACTTCAGACACAAGTTTGTCCCGGTACTCGGCGACGTTTTCCCGAGAAATATTGGCACGGCCGGTATATAAGGCATCCCCAGTGCTGTCGTCTGCATAGCAATGAATGCTACCAGTTAGCAACATATCATTGATATGCAGGAGAAACAGCGTTGGTGATAGCACGCAGCCTTGTGGAACACCAGCGTTGATAGGCTTGTAAACAGAGCATGCACCGTCTACTACGACCTTGATGCTCCGATCAGCAAGGAAACTGGTGATCCATTTGCACAATTTCTCGGGAAGCCCATAGGAAGGAAGCTTCGAAAGAAGCGCCTTGTGCCAGACCCGATCGAAGGCCTTCGCTATGTCCAAACTAACGGCCAATGCCTCCCCCTTGGACTCTACTGCCTCCGCCCATCTATGAGTTAAGTAAACCAAAAGATCACCTGCTGATCGACCCCGACGAAAACCGTACTGACGGTCACTGATCAGCTGGTGATCTTCAAGGTACCTCATGTACCTCATACCACTCCAATTCGAAATACAAGTCAGATCAGCGTTAATAGTGTCAACTGATTTAGACAAATCTTCAAGAGAAGATTGAGTATAGATTTGGAGATCATCAGCATACAAGTGGTAGGAAGAGGACAGATTATGACTTATAGAGTTAATGAAAATTGCAAACAGGAGAGGAGACAACACGCCACCTTGTGGTACGCCAGCCGCTGTAGTAGTCCAGGTGGAAAAAACATCTTGCACCTGAATGCGCTGTCGGCGACCAAACAAGTAACTTCGAAACCAGTCAACTACAGTTGGAGATATGTTAAGAAAGCGCAGGATGCCCAACAAGATATCAAAATCTACTGTATTAAATGCATTACTAAAATCAAGTAACGTAAGAATGGTAAGCTTTTGTTTCTCCATACCATACCGAATATCATCAGTGATTTGTAAAAGTGCAGTAGTCGTACTATGGCCAGGACGGAAACCGGATTGCAAAGGATTTAAAAGATTATGTTTTAAGAGATAGATGCTTAATTGATTGTGCACAAGACGTTCAAGAACTTTGGAAAGGAAAGGCAAGATAGAGATAGGTCTATAATCAGAAAAACTAGACGGATTCGACTTTTTCGGAAGAGGAACTACAAATGCATCTTTCCAAGCTGAAGGGAAAATAGAAGAATTCAGTGAATTATTCAGGATGGAAGTGATTACAGGTGAAAGGAGATCAATGAGAGGGATGACCATTTTCCGACTAATGCAGTCACTACCAATTGAATTTGAATGGATGGACATTATGGCCTTCATAACATCACAACTGTTAAATTGACTAAAATTAAAAGCAGAGGTGTCTGGAGCGGGAGCTTTTGAAAGGGAATCCAAAGTATTGTGTTTTGCTTTATCGTTAATGCAAGACGAAGATGAGAAATGCAAATTAAGTTGATTGAGATCAAAGTTAAGGTGAGTGAAATTTTGTCGTAACTTCCCAACTCCTAAAGACTTAAGAAATTTCCAGACCCTAGCAGGGTCAGGATCTTGTACTGATTCATGGATATGGCGTCGTTGTGCTTTTCTACACAGATTGTTGCAACGATTCCGTACTAATCTATACTTCTCTCGATTCAGGTCGCTAGGAACTGACTTGTATTTCGCTTTGGCACAATTTTTAATGTGGATGATTTTTTTTATATCATCAGTCAGCCAAGGAGAGGGAGGATGCTTTACACGCACTGGACGAACAGGAGCATGAACGTCATAAAGCTGAATTAACAAAGAGTTGAACAAAGCTACCTGTTCATCAACAGTGGAAGCATTGACGACTACACTCCAATCAATTTTTCGAGCGTCATTTAAAAGCTGCTTCAAGTCCAAGTCACTAAAGTTACGCTGAAGTAGGATCCTTGACTTAGCTTTAGGGGGACGGATTTTGTAAGACAAGTATAAAAGGTCATGATAGGAAAAAGAATCAGCAGCATATTGCCCAAATTTATTAACAAGGTCAAGTGAAGACACAAACATTATGTCGAGAAGAGAAGGGGCACAGTTCGGGAAAAAGTGTGTGGCAGAAGTAGGAAGAAGTTTTAAATTTGCTGCTTCGATAACAGATTTTAATTTAATTGATCTGGCGTTGGTTTTTAAAAGACAAGTATTAAAATCACCCATAATTATACTATGACAATAGATAGGTGTAAGATTTTCAAGAATATTTTCTAACGTGGTGAAGTAGTCAACAGTGAGAGAGGGGCTGTAAAAGACTCCGAGAAGTAATTTGGTATGACCGAGAAGAACTTCGATAAAGAGAAATTCAGCTTCGCCTCCAGTCTGGGAACCAGTTGAAACCTGAATTACTGAATACGGTATATGAGAGCGTAGATAAATAGCAACACCGCCACCGCCCCGATCGGTACGGTCGTTACGAATCAAATGAAAACCTGGAAGCGAGTAGGATGTTGATGGAAGACATGGTTTTAACCATGACTCCGAGACAAGGATAGCGTGTATATTTTTGCTATTAAAACTTGACAACATGTCGGGGTAATGAGCAGGAATACTTTGAGCATTTATGTGAATAGCATTAAAGTTTTTGCTACATTCAGTAAAAATTGAATCTAACATAATATTTAAGGGTGCAATGCTTTCAAAGCTATCAATGCTGCTTAATCCATCAGAAGCAGAATCAAAGGCGAAGGAATTGGAACTCCGAACACTATCATCTGAAGAAATCATATTAAATTATACCTGATTACTAAATGTATGTATATAAGTATATATATAGTATATATATATATGTATATATATATATATAAATTATGTATATGTATATATAAAATAAATAAATTCAAAAATAAATAAGTCATCAGTAAACTACCTGCCAGCAGTATTGAAAGAAATCTATAATTAACTTAACAATAAATGAAGAAACGGAACGTTAACGCACCATAGACACAAAAAGTGAGAGGTGTCAATGTCAGATGAGTCAAAATGTCAAAAAGTGACAATACGTTAGTACGTTAACTTACCAATTAACTACATACCTTGCAAAACTTATAATAATAAACATTCCAATGAAACATTATACTAATAATAACATACCTTACAGAAAAAAAAAAAAAGAAATTATAAACATTCCAAAGAGATATTATTAATCATTACATTTTACTATCTAATTAACGATTAACAATGACAAATAATGATGATAGAAAACAAGCAAGAAAAAAACAAGTAAAGTTATAGCAATAAGGATTACAAAATTAATAAAATGATAATATTAAATAAGAAAGTTCATTTTTTACCGACCCTCTTAGAACGCTGTGGTGCACTTTTATCTTCGGGGGCCTTATTTGCCTCAACCACCATTGGATAAGCGGGTGTGGCAGAAATTGACCCGTTGCATATTGTATCAAGCTCAGACGAGGTCTCAAGCTGGTGCCTTGTGCCATCAGGAGTTAAAATATTAATAACTCCATCCCTGGTCCAACACTTGGTTACGCCAAACCTACGCCTAGCTTCAAGAAAAACACTGTGGCGTCTCCTTGTAAGAAACTCCGACTGAGTTATACCTGTGCCCTTAAGTTTGGTTTTGGAGAACCAAACCTTGTCTCGCATCACAATATCACTGAATTTGACAACCACAGGCCTGGAAGATTTATCGGAAGGGCGTCCCAAACGATGACAGCGGCTTATGGATGTTTTACTGAAACCTGACACTTGTAGTTTCGTGCTGATAAGTGTACTTATGACGGTGGCAGTCTCCTCAGATTTTTCTTCAGGAACTCCATGGAGTAGGATCATCTTCCTGCGGCGACGCATTTCAGTACGATCTAGCTCTCTTCCCAGAAGATCTACTTGGTTATGCAAAGATGTTAAAGCAGCCAAGATGAATTTTCTAAATGCATTAAAATCACCAGGTAGGGAAGATGCAGTTGAGGCAGCAGAACTAGATTGTTGCAGTTCCCGTTGAAAGTCATCCATTTGACTTTGGAATGACTTTGACATCTCAATTAGTGAACCTTTCAGTGCTTCCATGGTGAAAATAATTGTGCAGTGCAGTGATATTAGAGAAAATACTTGGAAATAAGTGCTGGTAGGTAGTTATTTATTACATGTAAATAATTAACATGAAATTCAAACTGTAACTATTTTTAAAATATATTTAAATCTAAGATGTCAAAAATGTGTACTACTCAAATCACCTACCCTCCTAATACATCTATATTATTACTTTATCTATATTGAATAAAAATTATTCCATTCTACACTATTCTATTAATCTAACGCACTTCTCGATCTGTGTTCATGGACTTCACATGTTATGGAAAGATTTTATTTCTTAAGTTAAGTTTCCTCACGTTTTTTCTTACGTTGTATTCCTCACGTTGTTTCCTCATATTCTCTCACCGCCAATCAGTTGCTAAATCATCACTTAAAATGATAAGTATAAAATAAATTATGTGCTTCGGATTACGAAGCACAATGGCGTTGTTTTGCGAAAATCCATTTTACTAAATGTTAAAAATGAATAAGCTAACATACGCGTAATAAAGTAAAATTATTGAAACGAAGTTCCTTATCGGACGGTACGGGTTTGGCGGATGGGAGCTAGGCGACAAAAAGTGTTTTTGCGTCACTATCCCTTGTATTTTAATAGACGCTAGTAATACATATATTTGTATATGTTAATCAATAATATAATACATTTATCAATAATAAGGAACTTCGTTCCAACCGAGAGTTCCACGACACTCACGCGTGTTTTTTTTGTCTTTTCTACTTTGAAAAGCTCCTCCTGGCCTCCCTCAATTGCGTGCACTATCCCTGTCACCACTAATCTCAACACCACTACACTAGGAAATACACGCCACCGTTGATAACGTGTTTCGAAAGAGGTATTCTCAGGCGAAGTAGACTCTGTGGTGGCTAACCGGTACAATTAGCGATTCTGTTTAAATTAACATCTTTAATGCTTTAAAACGTAAGCACAGTAACTCTTCGTTAGACATAAAATTTATGTTATGTTGTTTTCAATGAACACAGCCTAAGAGGCAATCTACGGGAGATGGCAATGTTCAGCACTGGACTTTTAAAAGGCCGTATTGGATAGATCAATTTTACACAGCGTGTTTATTTTATGTTACCGTCAGTTACGGAACGAAGTTCTAGCGTTCGTTATATGTATTTATCAAGGCGGAAAGGGTGGAAGTGTCTCGTAATTGATTTCCCTTGAGCTCGCACAACAAACAGAGACAGTAAGATAAAGTAGCAAAATATATTTAAAAATGTTTGTTTTACTTTAAATAAATGATTAATTTAAAAAGTTTCAATGTTTGCTTGTCATAATATTGAACGCGGACTTTCAAATTGAAGTACTAAGTTCGATAATTTTATAAAATATTAATGTTACATCATTATTGTTTATTACAAAGTTACGGAAATAAGCTGTAATAGTAAATTAACAATTTTATGCTATAATGTATTCAAATAAAAGTGGTAGATTAACGCTGCATTAGGAATGGATCACCTAGACAAATACCAGCGTGAAATTGCATCATAATGATGCTGTTTCTTAAGGTGAATGTATAGTGAAACAATCCATCTTAGTTCTCAGGGGTGACATTGCTTTTGAATTTTGATTC